TCATGTGCTCTGTGTATCTGGGTGAAGATATACCACACGCTTGATCTGTAGCAATGAATTATTTTATTCACAGACAGGGTTGCATGGGTATGAGCTGTGCTTGGTAAATGCCATCTTGATTTTTCTTCCCAGTTATTTATTATCTAGTTGCACCCACATGTTTTAATTGTTTTCTTTCCTTCAGACTGTTTCCTAAAGCCTTGGTAATGCTGATGTCAGCCTAGCAGGCTTGTTGCTGCTTGAATCCTGCCTCCCAGCCAAACTGTTCAGTTCAGGCACTGGATTTGCTGTTGTGGTTGCAGAGAACCTCCCTCCCTCATTAAGGGTCTCTGCAGCCAGAACAGCAAATTCTTTTGCTGGTGCTTCCAGAAGTCTGGAATGGGCATGATCCAGTCTTTCCCTCACCTCACATGTCTGGCTGTCTTTGCAATAAGCTAGTGCACCCAAATATTCACAGCTTTAAAATCTATTCCCTTTTCCAAGGAGAGCTGGTGAGTCATTGAAACCCCAGATCCTGTGGTGTTGATGTCACATGCTGCAAGAGAACAGCTTTGGTTGTGGTGGGACAGCACTAAAATCCGAACTGCAGGGGGAAAGGAGGGAGGAAGTGTGATGCCTTTTTAAGCTCTGAAGGAAAGTCTGAAAGCCCTTGTTGCACAGGAGACTCAAAAATGTGCCTGAGCTCCTTTTCAGGCTCATCTCATTCAGTGTTTTCTGGTCAGTGTCCCTGCCTTAGCTTGATGGTTTTGGTCTCTTGCTCTGCATCACTCCTATTCCCTTGCCTCATCTTTTGAAGATGTAAAGGACAAATGTGATACTTACTACTGCAATTCTCAGCAAAAAACATTTTGGATTTGGATCACAGACATACACTATTTTGATAATTCTTACCCAAATAATGATGCAGCAGTTGCCAAGGGTTGAGGTTTTTTCCCCTTTTAGAAAGTCAATATACCTTGGCTAAGTGACATCCCTGCTTTCGGATGCAGTTGTGGCAATGCTAAATTTTCAAGGATTACCACTGCATGTGATGGAATCTGGGAACCTCAGTAATAAGCTATAAAGTCAGGAGAAAAGCCAGGATGCGAAGATCTTGGCAGCTCCTCCGTGATGGAATATCCTGCTGTACTCAGGGCCTTGGTGCCAAAATGCAGCATGAACCATTAATTTACTCAGATGATACTCCCTCCTCAACACTGTCCTTTATTTCAGTATTCCTTGGCTTTCCCAAACTTCTGGGAGAACTCCAGGGATGGATAAACCAACGTTACAGGGGGTAGGGTGATTGACTCTCAGCATGAATGAGTGGAAGAGGGATATGTAAATGCCATTGTCTATCTGCCATCTTCCTCCTCTCTTCTGCCTCCTCGCAGTTCAGGCTGTATCCTGGATCTGATGGAAGAAACAGGCACAGATCAAGAATCCAGCCTTTCCTTGGCTCTCCCCACATGTTTGGTTTCCCCTCCAGCTGTGCAGTTCAGGCAGCTGTGCAGCCCCTGGAGCTCAGCCTTCCTAAGGTGGGCCATTGCCTGCGTTAGGTGAGGACAGGATGGGGATAGCAATTAGGGGGGAGAATGAGGAGAGACCCCAGGATGGAAGCACACTGTGGGATTGCATGAAGAGGTGCTTGGGATGAGACAGCTGGGAAAGAGGGTGTTTGTGTTCAAATTAGGGCTGAGCTGTGTTCATAGAACTGCATGATGAGGATCTGGGGACTCACAACGGGGAGGACTGGGAGTGGAGTGCATCAGCAGTGATGCTGCAGGTGCTGGGGCTGAGGGATGGTGAACAGGAGATGGTCACAGCTTGGGTCACGGGGTGGCGCCGTGTTAAGTGGCAAAGCCAGATCTTAGGGAGGCTGAGACTCTGTTAAATCACTGTCTACCGTCTGCTGCTAGCCGAGGCAGGTCACAGCAGTGCTGACCTGCCTACCACTGTGTTGGCCAGTGTTGCTTTGCCAGGTGATCCAAAACGTTTTGGTGGTACTTTGGGCACAGGCAGCCCAGACTTACCTCTGTTCAGGTGCACAGTGCTGGCCACAGGCACCTGCAGCCACTGTGACCCAGCCCTGTGTAGCATGGACACTCTGCTGTCCCACGGGACACACACATTGGCAGCTGCACCAGTGCTGCACAGAGCTGTGCTGGCCACAGCTGCATCTCCCGCTCTGCTGCGGAGCTTAGCACTGGCTTCAGAAGTCATCGTCATGGCCCAGCCAGGATCCCGTTTGATTTTCTCCTTGGGATGCCACATGCAGTGCGAGCAGAGAGAGTCTGAAGGGGGAGATTTCCTGCAGGGGAGCCTTGTAAAAACCTGCTCCTGGGCCAGGCGCTTGCTCTGAAGGGTTTGGCAGCTCCTCGGGCTGGGGATGGAGTCATTGCTTTGGAGTGCTCGAGCTGTCGGGATGCAGAGTGCCGGGGTCTTCCTCCTGCCAGCTCAGCACTCCCGGCCTATTCCAGCCGCAGGGGAGCAGCCTGGCAGGTTTTTGGTGTTTTGTTTTGGGTTTTTTTTCTATCTTCCCCTTTATTTTTTTGCTGGAAGCCTGTACAGCACGAGCATAGTGGGGATCCCAGGGGGTTTGCCGCTATCCAGAGGAGAGGCCTTGTTCTCTGCCAGATCTTGTGCTGGGAAGAGGCTGGAGGAAGTCCAGTTTGCAACGTTTCTGCTGGAGCTGTTTCCAAGAGTCCTGTGAGATGCAGCAGCCGCTGTCCAGGCTGGTTCCTCTAGGAAAAAAAAGGACTGAAGAGGTCAGAGCATGGATGTGACCTGCCAGACCTCTGCTCCCTCCCTGCTTTACCGCAAATTTGCCTTTTGTTCAGCCCAAAGAGCCTCCTGCCGAGCCAGTGCTCCTCCGGGGCCGTGACCTGACGCTGCACGGGCACTGGAGCCTTTCCCTGGGATGTTTCCACACACCCCTGCACAACACCAGCACGAGCTGTTTGCATTTCTAGCAGCTTTAGGTCAGCCTGAACCACCTGGGGTTTGTTTCTGTCCCGGTAAGAAAGGCTCTGGTTGATGCACATGTTAATCTCAAAAACAAACACCTCCGCACTGCTTTTACTAAATATAGGACCAGTGTCTCTGCAGTGCAAGGAGGGGTCACAGTCCTAGTTGAACTGGAGTTTATCAGCCCAGGCCAGGAAGGGGACTCAAGTTTAATGTTGTCTGTTCACAGATTTGAGCTGCAGCAAGGCGAGTTTTCAAGGTCAGTCTAATTCTCTGTCAGAGGGCTGAGCCTGGAAATGTGAAATGGGGCTTCTCTGGGATGAACATCTCAGCCCAGCACTGTACGTTGGATTTTCTGCTTATCTCTCATTGGCACAGATGCCATTTCACCCTTCTGTGGGGTAACTGATACAGGGGATTGAGGAAGAAACTGTACCTTCTCGTTGAGTCACATCTTGATCAATCCAGTGCTGCAGGAAGTGTCATTTCCCACGGACGAACAGGCTTACAGACACTGCTGATGAAATCTTGTGAGGTCAGGCAGTCATTTCCTCCTAATTACAGCTCCAGGAATAAATAATGTTTAGCTTAGACCCTGGTGACTTTGTGCTTTGGAGCAGTTTTCATTTAAGCAAAATATAAGCACTTGAAAATGAAGATAGGATCTGGGTTTTTTCCTTCTGGTTATTTTGATTATACAGATGCCATTTGGGGCTGTATAGCAAATCAGGTTTTGTTTGGTGGTGGTCAGTGAACGAAAAGATCCAGAACCCCGAATTGTCATGTGAAAAGCCTCTGTGTTAGAAATCTTTATGTTGCCAAAAATGGCTTGTGGCAGATGCTTTTCCCAGGAGCTTGGAGGACTGGAAGAGCCTTCCAGGCCACAATCTCCTAAACAATGTGTCCTATTATCCCCTTCAGAAAAAACATCATCTTCCATTTTAAAACTCATGGTGTGATTTCTTCTGTAGAAGCCAACTCCTGGGCAGTGCAGCCCTCATGGTTAGAAAACTACTTCTCATATGAAAGCACCTTGGCCAACAGAGAGGTCAGAGACAAGAAGCAGAGGATGGGTGAGCAGTGGGACAGCTGCTTGGAGGTATTAATGCAAGTGAGAGCATGTGTCCCTGCCATGGCTGGCTCCATGCATTAGGTTTGGGATATCCAAGCCGTATCATTCTGCCCTATGCTAGAAAGAGGTCTCTGGGGCTGAGGGATGGCAGCTGAAGCAGATGCTTCATAGCCTGGAAGTTGGTTGCATCTCTGCATAATTTGTGAGCATGAGAACTTGAGCAGCTGCAGCCAGCTCAGTGTCCAGTTCTGCATTCATGGCTGGCCAGATCCAGCCTTGAGTTTGGTGCTGCTGCAAACAGACCTCCAAAATGAAACTAGCCAATCTGCAGGGCAGGGAAGGGACAAGGACTGCTTGGGTGGCTATCTTGAGCTTCAAATACTTGAGGAGATGGTGCTGGTTTAGAAGAGAAGAAAAAAAGTAAGTGGAAAATAAGAACTTAAACAGTTTTACCAGTCAGACAAAGCATCTGACCAATCTGCCTATTACTGTCCTTGTTTCTGAGCCTGGAAGTGCAAATTCTGAGCCTGTGGGGGCTCAACACAGAGCTGTTTGTGTTGGCTCTGCCAAGCACAGATGCCATCTCATCACTCATGAGGCTACAGTGATGCTGGTCAGGGTCCTGTCTCCTCCTGGATCATTCCTTCTGCAATGCAGCCTGCATGGAGTGACATTTCCCAAATGCATATGGATCAAACTGTTTCTAGATCCTCTTGAAATTGTAACAAGCTGTTACCTTTATTTATGGTCTTTTATTTGTTAAAGATTAGGTCTGGACCTTTTGAATCCTAACTGCAGATTTTGTTAGAAAGTAAGAAACAAGCATTGCTTGATCATCACTTCCAGAGCCAAATGGATTTGTCTCTTCTCGAGAGATGTCTTGTCCCAGCTTGGGCATCACCAGAGAAGGTGAGGGGAGCCGACCCTTCCAACCCCTCTGATTTTTTTTTTTTTTTTTTTTCTCCATTTTTCAGCCTCACAGGATGGAGTTATGAGACCCACCTGGCAGGGGAAGGCAGGTCGCAGTCCACTCCAGGCCCTGTATCAGAGTGACCAGGTAAGGAGATTGGGAGAGGGAGATGATGGGGTGAAAATGGAGTGGAGTGCTGGGTACTAACGCTTTCTTCCACCCCTCTGGTGTGTGGGGCACTGTGCCATCTCCAACCAGCCCCAAGGTCCTTGCATCTGAACCTCTGGCTGTGTCCAAAAGAGAAGACCACACTGCTTTAGGGAGTAACTGTTGATAAAAACTGCTTATGGCCCTTGCTGGTATTTGGGCAAATGGTTTAATTACCCATGGGCTGAGCCACAGCTGGGCAAACCTGGCAGGTTTTTCCATCTGAGGATTTCAAAGCCAGCTCTGAGATATCGTAACAGTGCAAGAGCATCATTGCTACTCTTTCTGAGCTAATATTCAATAGATGCTTCTGTGCTGGGTGCATACACACACACACATATGTGTATGCATATATGTGTATTTACATATATAAAGCTGGACTCAGCCATGAGGGATTTGTAATCCTGAGCTTTGCCAGCTACATCTGCTGAAAAATGGGCAGCCAGGCACAGCCTGAGCAGAGAATCACTCCCCTCCAGGCAGGCTTAGTGGAACCCTCTTTGTGCAAGGGTCTGTTGCATGGCAAGCCACAGTTGCTGCTTGAAGCAGGGAGCAGTTGCCCTTGCCTGCCCTTGGTGTGTGCGGCCCAGCTGGCATCGGTGACCTGGCATCAGGGAAGGTGTCCCACCTGCCCTTAGCAGTGGGGTTGAAGCTGCACAAGATGTTTGTTTCCTTCTGCTGCGTTTCCGCCCTGGGCAGGCAATTTTCCCCCCATGCAGCCACACTTGGCTTTGCAGAGGAATCGTTGCCACAGCTTCCCTGCAGGAAACCACCCTCTAACTGGTGCAACAGGCTGGGCCATGCCACATGCCCCAGCCACCAAACGTGCCCTGCATCTCCCCATGTCCATGGGGCTGCAGCCCATCTTCTGCAGCCCCCAAGAGCAGAGGGCAGTGCTGGTGGTCCCTGCAGTGGGCTGTTATTCCTGCTACCTCCCCCACTGCTCATCAGCAGTGCCCAATGCAGCCAGAGCCAGATCTCCATTCCCTGTGTGATGCTGTGTTTTATTGTCTAGGTTGATGCTTTTATGTCTATAAGGAGCCAAAGAACATTTGCTCTGTGAAAAATGGCCAACATGGACTTCCTTGACCATGATGCCAGCAAACCCTAATGCTACTGGAATGTCATGGTGTTATTTCCTTAAAAGTGATACTTACTTTCCCTGGCTTTTAAAAAAAAGGAAATGAAGGGAGTAATTTTGCTCAGAAATAACTGCAAGACATGCCCTTATTCCAGTGGGTGGCTGTTGAAAAGTAGTCACATTTATTTGTTGCCATGCCTGCAGACAGTGTCTGTCTGTCTGTCTCTCTGATCCAATAGTTTTGAATTATGCAAGTGTAGAGTAGGGAAAATGAAAAATAATCACATTATTAAAATGCCTCTTTTTTTTTAAGCCCTGGCAAAAAGGGTTTCCAACTTTGAAAATTGATGGGGAGCCTCCAAACAAAAGAAATTTCAACTGAAATCTTTGGCTGTACCTCAAAGAGGTGTACCATGAGAATATCTCTTCCACTAGGATTACCACCTCCCTAGGTGCTCTATCTTCTTCATATCCAAGTCGTCAGCATTATTAAAATGCCTCTTTTTTTTTAAGCCCTGGCAAAAAGGGTTTCCAACTTTGAAAATTGATGGGGAGCCTCCAAACAAAAGAAATTTCAACTGAAATCTTTGGCTGTACCTCAAAGAGGTGTACCATGAGAATATCTCTTCCACTAGGATTACCACCTCCCTAGGTGCTCTATCTTCTTCATATCCAAGTCGTCAGCAATGTCAGAGTCATATCTTGTTAGCAATTAGCATCTATTGTCCTGAGCATTTTCCTTTATTATCTCCCTGTTGGAAGGAGCAGAGATGGGATACTTTATCCTGCCCCTGTCTCAGGTTACTGCCCTTGAAGGTTCTTGGAGAAAGTGGTCACTAAGGTAGCCTGGATAAGGGTAATTTTTTTGCGGAAACGAGATCCAAAAAAGTCTGAATGTGGTTCATCCCTTGCAGGAGGACCTTTTTGCTCAGATGTTAGTGTCTCTCTGAAGGTGACAAGTCTACTGGATCATCCATGGGATAGGCAGTTTGTCTCAGTATCCCAGCTCCTGGCAGGAGCTTTACAAACCCTCATCTGCACACCACTGCCTCTCCCAGGCTCTGGTACCTTATGGCCCCTGAAAGAGCGGTGAGAGTGCGACACGGTGGTCACTGCATGGCATTAGACAACAGCCCCATGGGGTAAGAGCCACCCCAGGTTAGAAGGCATGTGGTGAAGCCGTTAGTAGCTGTGGCCTGGACGAGGCTGTGGGATGGTCCCTGTAATGAGGAACATGAAATCTCCCAACCCTTGTGTGCAAAATAGGGAGGGAGTGGGCAGGAGGAGGAGGGGAATGTTCCTCTTCTGACTTTCTGGAAATGGTTTCCTTCCCCAGATGTTTTAATGACATTTTGGGATTTCTGATGAAAACCATGACAGAAAAGGTCATGTCCCCAAATCTGGAAGGGGGATTTGAGCCTGGGCAGCGCTCAGGCTCTGGACTTCTGAGAAGTCAGTGCAGCAGCTGCCAGACCTTAAGTGCAAGGGGCAGAAGAGCTAAAGATAAAGAACCGTGTGTCAGTTCCTTGTCACAGAGGCCAAAGGAAACTGGCCAGAGCTGAGACCTTAGCCTAGCCTGTGTGGAAAAAGTCCCTCAAGAAGGACCGTAGAGCCCCTGGGAAGAGCCCCAGTATTACCTCCGTTATGCCCTGCCACCCCACCTCACCTCCAGCTCTCTGCCTGCTCCCCAGGATTCAACTGTCAGCATTAAAGACCATTTTCGTCTCCCTTTGCCTTTCCTTGGCAGCTGTTTCCATCGTGCATGCTCAAACATGTGTGCCACATTTCTGCCTCTTGGTTAGGGTGTTCAGAGCAAGCTCACAGATGTAAGTGTCAGTGTGACACAGCAGTGCCCCATAGCAGCAGGAGGTGTGTGGGGCTTTGCACCAGCAAATGGGCTGCACTGTCTGCCCCTGGGGCCATGCATGCATCCCAGATTGGTGTAAGGGAGAGCATATTAGCCCAGTGTGTGTGTGTGGGTGCTGTAAAAAAAATACTCTGTTATTGACCCTGTCTGCACTGCCTGTTCTTCCCTCACTCCCTTCGATTTGTCTCCTCATCTGGCTCCTTGTCACATTTTGTCCTCTCTTTTGCCCCCAGCCTGTCCGAGGATTAAATGCACCAAATCAAGTTGTGTTCAAAGTCAATGCTGTGCCCAAAAATCCCACATGGGTGACTGCCAAACTCAGGAAAGGGGAGGGAGTGGGAAAGGTTGTGGGTTAAGAGTTGTGTGTAGGCCACAGTCAGCTTGGGCAAGCTGATGACCATCTCTGTTGATTTTATTCTCCCCAGTTTGAGCAGTCATCACTGCAGGCGGTTCACCAGCAGAGACGGGACATGTTGAGCAATGTCTGCAACCGTTACACCCGCAAGCGGCGTCTCCTGCAGCCGGATGACTTACGGCACTTGGTGGTGGACGACACGCATGGGCTGCTCTACTGCTATGTGCCCAAAGTGGCCTGCACTAACTGGAAGCGGGTGATGATGGTCCTGACGGGGCAAGGCAAGTACCAGGACCCACTGGAAATCCCTGCCCATGAGGCCCATGTCCCATCCAACCTGCGCACCCTCTCCGAGTACAGCATTCCCGAGATCAACTACCGCCTGCGCAGCTACCTCAAGTTCATCTTCGTGCGGGAGCCCTTTGAGCGCCTGGTCTCAGCCTACCGCAACAAGTTCACCCTCAGCTACAACACAGCCTTCCACAAGCGCTATGGGACCAAGATCATCCGGCGGCACCGGCAGGATCCCAGTGACGAGGCCCTGGAGCGTGGGGACGATGTGCGCTTCGAGGAGTTCGTCTACTACCTGCTGGATCCACGGACACAGCAGGAAGAGCCCTTCAATGAGCACTGGGAGCGTGTGCACTCACTCTGCCACCCCTGCATCATCCACTATGATGTGGTGGGCAAGTATGAGACCTTGGCCGAAGATGCCGACTACATCCTCCAGCTCATTGGGGCCGACACGAGCGTCAAGTTCCCAGCTTCATCCAAGACCACCAGGACAACGGATGACATGACGGCCCAGTTCTTTCAGGACATTAGCCCCTTCTACCAAAGAAGACTCTTTAATTTATACAAAATGGACTACTTGCTCTTCAATTACTCCATCCCCTCGTACCTCCGTATCCGATGAGGCAGGGGCTGGGGGGAGAGGTGAGGGAGAGCTGGATAACTCTCATCTTGCCACAATTCCTCTCCTCCCACCCTGTGCTCATCTTTTGGTTGACTTCTTCCCTGTGCCCTCTTGTTAGGGTCTGCTCCATATCCTAATGCCTTGTTCATGCATGATCTGGAGGGAGGACACCTCTCAAAACACTGCGGCTGGAGCTTCTCCTTCCCTTTCCCTCTCACCCTTCGATATCTGCAGGGAGTGGTGGTGGTACTGGACACTGCTGGGTAGTAGGGCTTGCTTTGGTTGAGGACTTTCTTTTAACTAAGAGACTCCTCTGTAGATCCAAGTCTTGAGAAGGCTCCTTTTTTTGGGCAGGATCCCTTCAGGTCTTTCTCCTCCTTACCGGGCTGTTTGGGGCAGACATGGCGTTTCGGGGGTCAGGGTGGAGCGTGTCAGAGACTTGCATAGAAGCAGAAATAAAGCAATAATTTAATGTAACTTTTTCCTTTTGTTTAAAATTGCTCTTACCTTTTCTTTTTGCCTTGTTCTCCTCCATCCTCATCCCAATTCCCACTCAATCCCCCATTGCTGGGAAAAGCAGAGGTGTGTTACTGCGACCACACATTTCTCTCTGACAATACCTGGAGGGCTTTTTTGTTCCTCTGCTTCCACATGCTTTCAGATGGGATGCAAAATACTCCAAAGAGGGGAGGAGAGGTTTTCAGCAGGTCCATTGGTGCTTTCTCCTGAACTACCATAGCAGAGCACTCAGTGCCTGTATGTATGCATGACTCTAAATTTCTGGTCAAATCCATTAAATCCAGGCCCCACACCTCCTGTATTTTAAAAGCAGGTGATAACAGTTTTGTAAAGCCATACGTACAGCATGGGTGCAGGTGTCTGCTCAGATGAAATCACATCGTACACAGTGTCCTGTCCATGTCCCCACTGGTCAGGCAGGACCCAACTGGTAGCTCTGACTTCTCTTTCTCTGCCAGCATGTGCTGCTCCTGTGTGTGCCTGATGCCTCCCACACTCGGTGGCCACATTGCACTGGGGCACAGAGAAAGGTCCTGGGACAGGTTTGGGTTATAAAGTGCTCCAGAGACCACTGGGCTGGGATGTGGGAGATCGCTGTAGTGATGGACCAGTGATGATGCTGGATTGGGAGGCCAGAGGTGTGTAAAACCTGAGAATAAAAATGGGGAGAGAGACACCTAGAGGGAAACAGCCATTTGCCTGTCTGTCTTTGGACAATTCATTCCTTGAAGAAAAAATGGGGAGGAGGGAGTGAAACACAAAAGAAAATTACAAACCCTGTCCCAGGATTTTAAATTAAAACCAGTCCAAGGAGCTGTATTTCTTTAAAACCATATTTCAGTCTCTACTCTTTTCTGTTCAGCTTTGGCTCAGTGGCTGCCTTTGTAAATAAACACACTGGTAATAGATGCTGTTGAGTGTGTCTGCTGGCTCAACAGCAAACACTTGACTTATTAGTGCAATACAATGGGAGGTTTTATAAAACCACACTGCTCTCAGGCTCTTTCAAAAAATAGTGCTTCCATCTAACAGCTTGCAGCTGTTACATCTTAACCTTTTTCCTCTCTACCTCTGATTGGCACCTACCTATATGCTGACACTCCCTCCTTGCTTGCTCTGTTTGGAGATTGGGTTTAGCAAAGCAATGAAAAAGAAAAGTAAATGAAACCGCTGGTAATCTTGGCAGTCTGACTGATCCTCCCAATCTGGAGTGGAGATCTTGCAGAAATGGCCTTTCTCATGCTATCTTGGTATCTCCCTGTCAAGCTGAAACACAAAGCACAAAAACAGATTATATGATGCAACAAATTTCATCTGTAGCATTCAAGCTCCAAGTGCATTCCCCCTGCTTTCTCAGGAGTCTCGTGTTCCACTCTTAGCATTGCCTCTGCTTGGAAAAATCATTGTTCGAGTCACCACAAGCTCTTTTCATCGTTTTTGGTCATGAATCATAATTTGGGGTCAAATTCATAGTCACAAAGGGATGGATTTCTTTTCTTTTTCTTTTTTTTTTCTGAAATATTGTTCCCTGTTGTTAGATACCTCTTAAAAGCTGGTGGCACAATGAGTGACAAGGACAGATAGACCCACTCCCTGCTGTGCTGTCTGTGGGTGTTTAGGCAACATCTGGCTGGTTGGGAGCCCCTTTCAGCTCTCTTTGCTGTCAAAGTGAGGGAATGGCAAGCTCTGGACTGTGTTCTTTAGCCAGTTGGTTTCTAACCTTTCCTGCAATGGTGGTGACTGGGAGATGGTCCCAGTTGTGAATGGCTGTTTGATTGACAGCCTGTCACTGACATCTCCTTCAGACCTGCTCCACTGACCCAAACAACAGACCAGACACATGTATGGGGCAAATGCAGCCCTCCAGCCTCAGCCACGGGCTGCTAAAGGTGATAACCTGTGACAGAGTGTCTTTTTGGTCAGGTAGAACCTTTGGAAATAGCCACCTTTAGGCTTTTTCTATAAAAACCAATCAACCAACATCCGCAAGTCAGCCCTGCCTAAATCCTGCTTTCCAAAGCAAAACCTGCCCGTGCTAACAGAAAAGGGCTGCTTTGGATTTCTGAAGTGAACGCCTTCAGCCCGGGCTGGAGCTTTTCTGGGCCGGGAAACGCTCTGCCTGTGCCAAAGCCGAGCAGCCGGGGCTGGAATGCTGCGGGGCCGGGATGCTGCGGGGCTGGGATGCTGCGGGGCTGGGATGCTGCTTAGCCGGTCCCACCGAAAACGCTGTAGGACGGGAGCTGGACGGAGCTAGGAGGACACCGTGTGACCGGTGATCCCAACTACAGGCGCTGTAATTTCCTGTACAGGTGCTGGGAACCATTTCTCTCAGGGCTGCTGGTTGGTTGTGGCTTTTAAAACTGATTCACTGCGTTCCTTTCTCTTTTTAGAGAAGAAAATAGCAAGGAGACTTAGGTCATCTCTAAAGTGTAATTGGATCTGGTTTTCTCCTCTACTTGGAAATGGGAATGTGGTGGAGCCTGATGTGTGACAAAGGCATGAAATACAGACCTGGGGTCTGCCCCAGGTGGACATGGAGCAGAGCATCATCCCCTCGACCCTGCCTGAGCACCCTGCTGTGAGGGGGGAGTGTTCCCAGGAGGAAGACACTGGTCCTGTGGTGAAGGGCACAAACACCTTCAGAATCTCAAAGGTGACCAACATGCAGCCCTGCAGGTTGTGTCTTAGTGGCAACAAGGCCTGTGGGAATACACACCATGTACTGTCTGGTGCTTTGGCCGAGGTTTGATGACAGGTGGAGGTGAAGATTCTTCTCAGGCAGCCCCAAAAGCAGCAAGATGAAGACAGGACCAGCTATGCCACCAGGAGTAAGCTCAGCTGATGACACCTGGAAACAGAGCAAAGGGTTAACCTTAAGGGCAGCAGGGGCATTTTTACCTGTGCACAGACTTCTTTTGGTGCCCTTAAATGCAAGCCTGATACTGCCAAACAAAATACCAACTTGGTATTTCTTCAAGGAAATAAACCTTCCCTCTGGGGCTGGTGCCTGGGGCTGTGTGGCTGTTACTCTCCATGGCCCCACACTGACCTCCCACATGTGGGAGCAGCTGGGCTGGGGTCAAAGAGGGAATGTCCCACAGCAAAGCCAAGGATGTTGGTGGCTGACAAAGCACTGTTAAGTGCCCAAAGGAGCTGAGGAAGCTGAGTAAGTGTGGCTGCAATTAGCTGCCTGTCCTGTAACGAAGGAACTCACCTGCTGGGGTGCTTGGGGCAGTGTACTGCATAGTGCTGATTGGGCCGTGCCATTTGCTGCACAGGTTGATAATCTCAGTGCCACTTTGACAGCAATGGGTTGAGGCAGGAGGACCAAGCTGGCTGAAGAAGAGCTGCCATGGCAGAAAGCTTAGCAATGGAAGCCTGAAGATAAATGGAAAAATCCAAGTTAGACGCAATGATTGCACAAGGCTTAGCCTCAGGGAAGGAATAACCTTGCAAACTCTAAACCCTCTCTTCCTCATCCCCCCTATCAAGTGCCTATTAAAAATAAATGTTTTAAGCAACAAAGCATATCCATTGCCATATGAAGTAGCATTTAGACTGCTGAGTCACAGGGTGCCTGTGTCACACCGCCAAGTTGGGGCAAGTGCACCATGGGCATGCTTGGGGGTAAGAGCCAGTCCTGGCCTCGCTGAAGTGAGTACTGTCCCCCAGCCCCCTGAAAGACTCTCAGTACCATAGAGTCCCATCCTGGCCTCAGCCAGGGTGCAGAGCTTGGGGACAAGCAACTCCAAACAAGTCAAGTTGGTTCTGGAGTTTGACCCGAGGTTTAGGAGCTACTGGGGAGCACTCAGAGCACCAGGGACACAAAAAAACTGAGCAACCTCACTCTGGTATATTCATGTGTGCACAGGTGTACCATGTAAATAATGGTTATATTATAATGTATAATAGCATTTTTGCAAATACTTGAAATATTTATAGGTGATAATACATGCATTGTATGTCACAGGAATATGTGTATAAAGTATGAATTACAAGACCAATTAAAGAGCATCTATTATTATATCTACATTTTATATACTAAGTGATATTATTTGTATATTATTATAATACTTAAGAGGCATTTGGCTTCTATATGTCTACATATGCTAATGGGTACAATATATTCATTATATAAATACACAGACACCCCTCAGCATCAAAGAGAGAGAGTACCTTCCTTTCCTGCAGTGCTGAGCTTTGCCATAGTCCAGCATGGCTTAGCAGCTAATGGTGAGCTGGCCCTTCCTCTGAGTGCCACTAACAGCTCTGCTTGCTCCTGCCTTCGGAGCATGGTGGGCACTTGGCCTGTGCTGTGGGTATTCCATGCTATGGAGCTGCTGGCCCCATCCCTTCATGGTCCATGTGACGCTGCTGAGTTTCTCCTTCCAGTGGAACAAAACTGAGCTTCAGTGATCAGGAGGTTTCCTTCCAGAGCTTGCTGTGCACCACAGATTGGGTTGTTTACCAGCCAGAGGATTAAATAGACTTCCATTGAAGGGAAAAAAAATGTTTTCAAGTATGCCTTGGAAGCGGTGTCTTGCTTAAAGGAGGCTTTTCAGACTTGCTTGTGTTTGCTGGCTGGCACTTTGTTTGTCCCTGGTAAGGACGCTGCATCTCACATAGAATTTCTGGGAAATTACTGTATTAGGATGGAGACAGTGAGTGGAAGCTGGGGGAGAGAAAAAAAAAAGTGTTTTGACTCTCCCTGAAAACAAACCCCTGTTGCCATCTGTCTCTACAGATGGTGACAGCCCCTTCTTTGCTGCAAAGAGAAACCTTTCTGCACCCAGGAATGGGAGAACCCCTGACCAACCTTCCTCCCTAATCCAGCTGGGATCTTCCCAAGGCCCCAGCAGCCACCCCAGCACCTCAACATACTGACCTTGCAGTGGTACAGAGCAGGCACTCACCTCCTCCCAAACTCCAGTGCCCTTCCTCAGCCTCCATCCCACAACACTGACATGAATGTGAAATTTAGTTTATTGGGATCCAGCTAGTGGCTAATTTCAGAATTAGCCTAACTCCACTGCTAATATGGTGGGAAAAAAACCCAAGGGAGATTCAAAAAACCAAAACTGATATTGTTTCACTGCCCCCTACTACAGGTTGGATCAGCTGGCTGATGGCTGCACAGGGCTCAAAACCAGCCCATCTCATTCTTCTGCCAACACCCCACATTTTCCATTAGTCACCCTAGAGATTACAACAAGGTAAGCCTTCACCGAGGTTCTCATAGCATTTGGTGGTTTCTCAGTCCAAGGCAAGCACTGAGCCCAAATGGACAGGTCAGCAGCCAAGGACTGAAGAACAGCAAGGAAGAAGTTCTCTTCTCCCACCTCCACCTTTTTTAGGGATGTCATTTATTTAGGAGCTGTGAGAACTAAATACAAATGAAAGTCATTTCCAGCTCTAACAGAGGTGCTGGTGACTCTGGCAGGGTGACTCCAGCCCGGTGAAGAGCTGGGCACAGTAATGACCCAGACACAGCAGCAAAGGAGCCAGACCTGCTGCTGGCAGTGACTTCCCTGCTGTGTTAGATTAAAGACAGAAATCACTATGAAATGTCTACACCCAATCCGGGCTCTGCTACCCACACAGGTTTGCTCTGAAACTGTGTAAATTTTGTGGAGGAAAAAGTATGAAAGCAGCCCCCTTCCCAAATCTCCCCAACAAAACCACTCCAACACAACACCACAGGGAGTATATAACCAGGTAGGGCCTGTTGTGATGCACTGAAAGTTCTTAAAAGCTGAGGATCCTGCAGGCATTTAAGCACAAAATTTCTTATTGTAAGGTGGGGGAAAGGGGAAGATGCCTGGACAAACAGTAGCTTCTAGCCCTGCTGGGACCAGGCTGTGCTCAGTGCCACCGGGGCAGCTGGTGCCAGGGAGAGGGAGCAGTGCTGGCCACTCACTGGAAGGGCTGGGGGGCTTTCTTAGAGGAGCAGGTTCAGATGGAGTTACAGGAATGCTGATCCAAGCTGTTCTTTGGGGTTACATATAGCCTTTGTTAGCAAAGGCCTTTTCTCATTTTCACAGGGAAGAAAAAGGAGTGAAGAGAAAGAGTAAACAGGCTGAACAGCCAAATAACTAGACTCTAGCTGCCCTTAAAAAAGGGGGGCAAAATCCCCTTTTATTGAAACCATTTCCTTTGGTTATATCATTTCTCTTGAGGCTGGAAGCAATTTTAAGTTTTAAGTGTGTTCCCTGCACTAAGTGCATGGGCATGAGGCTGATGTTTGGCTGCCCACTAAGGGGTACCCTGGAGAACAGCACATCTTCCTGTTGTAGTCTCCCTACATCGGCTCTGAGCCCCAGTGCCTCCTGCATGGGGGGAACCCCCAAGCCCACAATGGGCAAGGTGCAGCATAGGTCACCCTGGCCCAGCTGAGTCCTACAAATAGGACACAGATGGCATCCATTACATGTTCCCATCCGTGTCCTCTGTCAACAGTGACAACCAGATCGAGCTGAGCTCTGTCCAGAAATCCCCCAGTGAAGGGTCGTACCAGTGCCAGGGCTTAGCTGCATGCACACAGCAGAGAAGCAGATGTCTGTTGGGCACGGGGAATCGTTGCTGGAGGAGTGTGACTGGGGTCCCTTGAAGTCTCCACCAGCTGTGGGCTCTAGTCTAGGGCTTTTTTGGGACTGGAGGGAGCAATGGCAAATCTGTGCAATTAAGAGAAAAGCTGAAACAGTTTCACATATCTGGGATGCTGTAGAGGGCTGGAGTGTCCTCAGCAGTTTGGCTTTAGGACCAGTCTTACCTGATTCACACAAGCAGCAAAAGCACCAAGCTCTGGAGAAGACCTCTCCAAGGCATCAGGGACATACAGCAAGGAGGAGAAAAGAGGGGTTTGAGGCAAGAGGAGTTATTTGCTAGGACTGCTTGAGCCACTGCCAAATTGGATCTAATAAAGGTTTACAAAATAAAGCACTAAGCTCAAGTTATTAAAATATATACATACGTATGTCCTAGCACAGCCCACTCAAACCGGGACTGGCAATGAGCCGCTTGCTTTGCTTTCCCCGCGAGCTCCTCAGCTGCTGCTGCTGCAATTATCACACGTGGGTGCTCAGGGCCGACGGCGCAGCCGAGCAGAGCTGACAGCAAGCAGGCTGCAGCGGGAGATAAAGCAGAGAGGCCCGAGTCAGGGGAGTGTATGCCTTGAATGCTGAATTCTCCCCACGGTGATGCTGGTGTGTGCATACTCTCCAGCTCAGCCAGTGTGGGCCAATTTATCCTTCAAAACAATAAAAAGAAGAGGAAGATTGGAGATGGGGGAGGTGACAGCTTTTTTTTTTTTTCAGGGAGTGCTTTTCCCCATGCCTGGCAGCCCAGAGCTGAACAGCTTTTGCTCTTAAGGACCTTCAGCCATGTGTTGATCCTATGCAGGGGTCTCAGCTTTGCAGCAGCTCTGGGAGACCAGAGCAGAACTAGGACAAAGGAAAACCCAAGGCCAGCAGGCACCCAACACAGCTCAGATTAAAGCATTTTAGAGCTGAACTAGGTATCTGTCTGCCAGCAGGCTGTGGGACCTGACCTCCCCCTTTCCCTTCTTCAACACATACAAAGGCAGATTATTATTAAAGCTGAATCCTAGTAGCATTTTTCAAAGGTTTAATACATATCCTTCACCCCTGACTCTTTCTCATCCTATTATCTGGAGGATTCTTTTGTTTCTTGAATTTCAGTGAGAATTGGCTGCTGTCAGCTCCACAAGCCTCCCTGTCATGTTCCTGGTAGCACTGGATGGCCACCCTGGAGCGAGGACCTGAGAAGTCACTGGCCAAATACTCATGTGTAATCATCACCCAGCCCTACACAGGCCCTGGGCACACAAGCAGATTCAAGACTCCTCCCAGAGCAATTGTTAATGACGGGATGGTGACTGTGTGAGAGGGAATAGACTTTAATTCTAACCTGAAACCTGTGGGTGGCAAACAACTGCTCTTGGTTAGGAAACACTGATTTTCCTGAAGCCCTATTAAAATTATGTTGTCCAACCCTGAATGGATGAGAAAGAAGCAAGCAAGAAGTTCACCTGACAAGTTAGAACTAGAAACAGGCAGAGTCATGGCAAGGAAAAACCACCTCCAAATCCACAGAATTACTTATTTAAACCACTTTATTTATGTGTGCGTTCCTATAAACATTTTAACTACTGGACATTTCATAAACCGTAAAAACAAACCTTCCTACCCCCAAAATGCAATCAAACCAGCTTGTCGGTCAGACAACAGTGATGCTGCCAGGGCAGGTAGGGGGTATCCCTAGATAACCTCCTGCTGGGTGTGAGCCAGTGGCTCACTGCCTCAGATCCTGAGTGTCTGAACGATGGAGAGGAGACAAGTTTAATGACCTGGTTGCTCTCCTCCTCCAGGGATTCAACGGGAGAAAAGGGGGATGAATAAAGAATTCTCCTCGATGGAAAGTCTGAGTCTGATGGAGGACCTCCACTTGGCAGGATCAGATGCAGTGACCTCGGCAGGCTTAGAAGCAGCCTCAGGACTGCATTAGTTCTAGGGACTGAAGCCACTGACCAAAATGCTCATTCATTACCAATGGCCCAAAAGCTCCTTAACACCTTGTTTGCCGGGTGCAGGTGTGAGCAGCAGGTGCTTCTTAAAACCAGCTCGCTCACTTGCAAGGGTGCAAATCTGTGGGTGCTGATTCCTCGGGGTGGGCAAGCCCAGCTGTAAGGCACAATGGGGAGGGGAGAGGAGGGGAGGTGGCAGGGGAGGCCCAATCCAGCCAGGTGACCCAGCACTCATCACCAAGTACACTGTTGTCCCAGAGGAAAGCACCGGATCGCACAAGGGATGCAGAGCAGCACATGGTCTCTCAGTTCCCCCGGTTCATGTCTGCACCATGGACAAGCCAAACCAGACGGAAACAGATGGCCAGGAATCCAGTGCCCAGGAGATCCCCCAGGGCAGTGAGGTAGGGGATGGAGAAATTATCTGGATCCAGAGACTTCCTCCACATCAGACGCACAATTAGGTCAGCCACGTAGAGCAGGATTCCCACCTGGAAAGAAGCAAGACAGGCCCTGCTGTGAGGCAGCAAGAAAGTAACACAGAGCCTCCCTCAGCTCACAGCCGAAGTGACGTGGCCATGGCCAGGGTACCAGAGCTAATAGGGATGGCTGAGATTTCACACCTTCCCCAGAGGATCACTGTTTCTCTGCAATATGAAGCTGCACTGGGATGGGTATAGCTGGCTCCTGCCCTTTGGCACTGCACTGCCTGGCATTGCCCGTGGTGCCTCTGCCCTGTGTTACCAGCCACAAGCATGGACACCTCACCTGAACTTCTCATCAGCATCACCTGGCCCAAAACAGACGTCTGGCCACACCAGAAGCATCTCCCAAAGGTATGGTTCCTACTTCCCAGGCCATGAACAGGAGCTCTCCCATTAATTTCACCAGAAACAGGGCTACTGGGAATCTGCAGGCAACCCCAAAGTATAAGTTTGTAGCCAGATTTTTTCTCTTCATGCTTCTTTTTTCATTAAAAATTCAGATCACTTGTACTTTGTTTTTCTTAAAACTCTCAGTGGACAACTGGAGTTGGAGGCATTTTTTACATCACAGTTATGCCAAACAGCACTGACATGTTAAAAATAAAATAATTTCTTTTTTTTTTCATCTCAACAGTTTCAAAATCTTTGTTGTGATTTCTTTTAATTCCTATTTCATTTCCAATTCTGATAAACAGATGGAAGAAAAAAATACTTTGGTTAAAGATTAAAAACTACATAGTTAATTGAATTAAGAAGGGAGAGTTTGCATCCCACAGCTGTGGTCCCTCCATGGGACACCACAACACATCAGGAACCAAAGCCAGAGGTGGCATTTAGGAAGGGGGAAAAACACAAGCTGGGTGGAGGAAAAGGGAGGAGAAGAGATGGGGGAAGCAAATTATGTAACAGAATCATAAAAACGAAAGCTGACTGGAAGCTCAAGTGTTTTACATTGACCATTCCACTGCCTCAGTTCAGGATCAGACATGCCCATATGACCCTGGTGGTCATTTGTTTAACCTATGCTAAACAACCCTCAAAGATGGTGATGCCATGCTCTAAGTAAACAGTCCCATGGCTTTCTGGATTTTTTTCAGTTCTTGTTTTTCCCAATGTCTAATATAAATCTGCCATTTTCCATTTGAAATCCATGATTTCATGTTTTTCATGAAGGCCTAGTGACCACAGAGAAAATGTTATTCTGTCCCTCCCTACAGAAATTTGGTAGTTTAATGGCTGTTAACCAGGTTTTTCTCAAGCCTCTCTTCTTTGGACTAGCTAACCCCAGTCCATTCAATCATGCTTCTGAGGTCATATTTTCTAGGCCACTGATCTTTCTCTTTGGCCTTCCTCCAGCTGACCCAAAATTCCCCCCATCTCTTTCTTTCTGCCTTTTTTTATAAAGTATAACAGAGGGGTAGAAAGAACCCGGCTGAGCATATTCTCCTCTGCTGGCCTCCATGGGAATCTTTCAGGGTCAGTGGTGTTGCTGGGATTCTGCTCTTTACATTGTCATTTATTCTGTGTATTTTCATGCTTGGCTTTGGTTGAGGAGTTACCTCAATGCATAAAGAGAAGAATAAATATTTTCCTTTACAACTATGGCTGTGCCGCTGGGCTTAGGGTTGTGCAAAGGTTGAGAAGAACTGATTGTTTACACACACAAGGAATTCACCCTCACGAGGCTGCTTGTAAGGCAAAGCAAGAGTCAGACACCTCGCCCTGCAAATTAATGAATCACTCATTTAAAAGGGCAAGTGAAGTCAGAGCCTCTATGAGTTCAGGCAGCAGCTGCACACATTTCTGAGTGAGATGACAAAGTTTACAGGGCAGCAAAAACAGCAAAAGGGAACTGGCAGGACAAATTGGATGTTCTGCCCATTGCCTACCCAGAACTTTTGAAGATGAACTGCTCAGAACTGGGTTTTCCCTTTGCTTTTGACCTGCATGGCCCAGAGGGACCTCAAGGTTTTCACCATGTGTCACTGGTTTGCAAAATGAATGGGGAAACCTGCTGGCTCTCACTTGCCCTTTGCTGGGATGACAAGTGGCAGCCTAGAAATACTTGAGGCTTAGAGACTCAAGGAGTGAACATGGTAAAACAAGGTACCTTCTTACTAAGTGTGTCTCTACACACTTGCTGCAGCTCAGTGGAACTTGTTCCTCATCTCAGTCTGATCCCTCACTCACCCTAAAGGGCAGTTGTGCTTATGTGGGAAACCAGGCCCTGGCAATTTGGGTGAGGTATTACCGGACTCACAGAAGGTCCATGATGCTTGGTAGAAGAACACCTGAAATGACTGGAAATGGTACCTGCTGTAGGATGCTTTACTGTGACTCCTATTTTGCCTGGAGACTTTTTTTTCACACTGAGAGGTTCTTTCGGGACAAGAGTTTGGGGTTTACCTGCAGCAAAGCAGCAGTCAGATAGAACATCACAAAGGTGAAGGACAGAGATGTGTGGCCTCCCTGCAGCAGATGAATGGTGTAGAGGAACACGAGGTGCCCTGGGATAACCAGGAGGAACAGGACCCGGGCTGACTTGGAATTCACCTCTGCAAAGGACAGAGACAGAAAAAAGGTGTAACAGCAGCTGCAGAGGGTGAGGAGAGGACAGGACATGGCTGCTTATTTTAATGCATAGACTTGGGGCTGTCCCCTCCTACTAACCACATTGCTAACGCCTTTTCTAGTTCACACAGCAACGAGGAGCATCTGCAGTATCAGCCCAGCAGCTTTGTCTAGCACTGAAACTATGTGCCAAAGACTATATGCTTCATGCTGATCCACTCTGATTCTTGCAGACACTCCTCTCAGCTGCTCTCTGCCTCCCACCACTTCTGCTCTGCCTTTCTGCAACACATTTTCCCAGTTTATAGTTTGATCTAGCACTAACTCTCAACCTAGCAGGGAAAATCAAGAGAAACCTGCAATCTATAAAGACAACAGACCCAAATCGAGTTTTGCTGATGCTGAAGTATATCTGCTGCTGAAGATTGAGGAATTACTGATTTTCAGCAAGATTACGGTCTATTCACCCCTCTGTCCACAGGTTATGGCTCTAGGCTGGCCATGGTTAAAATGGCTTTCTATTAGATCAAATCTAAGATTCTTTTTCAATTACTTTCTTCAGTGCTCCCTGAAGGCCACTTTCTTTGCATGCCAGTGAGCAAGTATACCACAGACGTTTTTTCAAGCGGCCCACTGCAAAGTTGCTTCCTCTCCAATCTGAGTATCTTCCCCATGGGGGGGAAGTTCTGCCTTTGAAACCCACCTAAGTCCTTTGCCACCCAGGCTTGATAAAGGAGTTATCTGTGATAAGAGGCCTTGAGACATGAACATAGGGTTCAGGGTCTACCTGATGAGAAGAATGTGGCGCATGGGTTGGGCCAGTTCTGCCTCATCTTGTACGGCAAAACTCCAGGCATGCTCCAGAAGTGCAGGAATGTAGAAATACGGCTGGCCTGGATGGCAACCAGATTTCCTCCAACACCTATGAGGACAAAACACAAAACCTGTAGACCACCTTCACCACAGCAGGAAACATCAGTCTAAAACCTAACCCATGGTGAGTTGATCTGCGTTCACTTACAAGCTCACTGAGAGCAGCAGTGAGAGAAAGAGAAAACCTGATCCCACATGCCATGGTGATGCTGCCCTATTAACTTTGCAGGAACAGCTCTTAAAAATCAGGAAGGCTCCAATGATTGTCTCTTTCTGACTGCTGCATTGAAAACATTTTCCCTTGCTCCCCAGCACTGGATGCCACGTGGCCTCTGAAGATGATGTAATTGCACCTGGTTTGATGCAGTCTGTGAACAACACCTGGGAAAGCAGTGCAGGCAATGGCAGATGCTGCTCACAGCCACTTCTTGGATTTACTCTCCCATAGAACCATTATTGTTTAAAAGACAACAAACATCACAGAGACTGATTACATGTCTGTTTGAAGGCATCTAACACACTTGTTAAATGAGAAGGAATCATGAGAATAAATTAAAGCCCAAATATGTTAGCTAATTAAAAGGAAATTAATTCCTTCCAGATTGATTAATTCTAGCAAGCATGAAAAAGCAGCTACATTTTCCAGTAGAAACTAGGGGGATAATGATCGATGGAGCAAACCTCCATCACCCTGACTATTTTCAGGGTAGCAATGCCACAGAAAAGATAACAGTGAGCCAGATCCTACAGGCTTCTCATATTTTCCCTTCCTTGAAGAAGAAAATGTTCCATCATTAAATATGAGATTTGCCAGATGGAAAGCAAAGCAAAAATACTAACTCAATGTAGCTCAGGGTGAGAGCTTTCTGAACCATGTACTGCCACACTTTGCAGGACTCTCCTGCACATGCAAAGTGAAAAGCTACCTGTGCAAAGACACAGAGCACTGCGTAACTTCGCCAACAGCTCTGCCAAACAGGTCACCTGCCCCCACACAGTGATGTCTGGGTCAATCATTGTTCAACTAAATTGCTGCTGACGCACTTTCCCAATCAGACTCTTTGGCTAACCATGCTGGAAAGGGTTTGTCAGCAAGGTTACTCTTTATGCAGATCCAGTGAGGTGACACCTGGGTGCCACCCTCTGACAGTGCAAGATGACACCATGCTTCGAGGGTGGCACAAGGCCAAACCTGCCCTAGGAATGAAGTTTCCCTTGGAATGGGCCTGTCCTGCAAGACAGTGTAATAACAGAAAAATAAGCCAGTGGATCCTCAGTGACACCAGGATTCCCAGCAGTTTGTACTGTTGGTATCTGTGTGTATAAAAGTACTGTTAGGATTCCAGTAAACTTAAATATGCACACAAAAGATGTTGAGATATATATATACTAAAAATACCTATATAGACAATCCATATGTATAAT